GGAGGCGGCGCTGCCCCTCCCGGCCTCACCCCGAGAGGGGCAGAGCCCCGAGATTGACCCGAGATTGACCCGAGGTTGACCCGAGGTGACCCGAGGCTAGGTGACGCTCCATTCTGAGCCGGAGATCACCGACGCAGACGGCGCGCCCGCACCCGGCCGGCGCTGATGAAACATCTCATGCCAACTCAACAGCTGGTGAGGAGCAGGCGCGCCCTACCTGACCACCGACACGCTGCACTGCACGGGCGAAGTCTGCGCGGGGCGCGGCGAGGTCTGGATGCGACACTAACCAGCCACTCGAGACTCACCAACGACTCCTACTTGAACAGGCGCGGCGAGGTCTGGATGCGAGGCAACAACCTGTCGGCGTGGTGCTGCAGGGCGGAGGAGCCCACCGCCTCCATCGGTGGAGTGGTTCATTCATGCCTCCCTCAGGTCGGCTACTACAAGATGGCGGAGCTCACCGCCTCCGAGTACACGCCCGACGGCTGGTTCAAGTCTGGCGACAGCTTGACCTCGCGCCGGGCGGTGAACGGCGTCTCTTCACAGGCGTGGGCTGTGAACAGGTCGGGCGACATCGGGCTGCTCACGCCGGGCGGCGCGCTCAAGATCGTCGACCGCAAGAAGAATCTGGCGCGCCTGCGGAGGCGGGGCGAGGCACGTGGTCTCAGTGCTCGCTCCGTCATTGCGGCTGGTTGGTGAGGACAGGTGAAGCTCAAGGGCGGCGAGTACGTGGCGCTCGAGAAGATGAACACGGCGTGGAGCAGCTCCCCCCTCCTCGAGGCGGAGGCGCTTGAGTCGTTCACCGAGCCATTCTTGCACTCGTCAGGCCTACAACAATTCTCCTTTCGTCGAGGTGGAGGCGGGGGGCGTCTGCTGCTTCGCCGACCACACGCTCGACCGCTCGGTGCCGCTCGCGCACGCCACGGAGGTCGCTGAGATGGCGCGAGAGGACGCGAGGCATGCGGTGGGGTAGGTCGCGCTGGCGCAAGTCAAGGAGAAGGCGCTGGTCGAGGCGGCCAAGGGAGTCGGCATCGAGGGCGAGCCGAAGGAGCTCGCCGCCAACCCGGAGGTGCAGGCGCTCGTCGTCGCGTCCTTCAAGGAGGAGGCCAAGAAGGCTACCCTCGCCGCGCTCTCGAGGCTGGGGGCTGGCTGCTCCTCCTTCAGAGAGAGCTGGTCCTTGGTCAGGCTGGCCTCACCGCGCTCGAGACGGTGATCGCCGTCTACCCGCTCGTCGGAGACCCGTGGAGCCCGGAGAACGGCTGCCTGACGGCCAGATCTAGCCGAGATCCAGCCGAGATCCAGCCGAGATATAGCCCGGAGAACGGCTGCCTGGCGGCAATGCAAGAGGGGGGCCTGCCGAGCGGGTCGGGTGTGGACAGCGTCTCTTCTAGCGTCTCTTCAAAGCGCCTCTTCACATCCTCTTCACAGCGCCCATCCGCGAGCAGGCGACGCAGAAGCTCGTGCCGAAGAAGTGCTTCGCGCACAACGCAAAGGAGCTCGAGGTCGTCAAGAAGAAGGGTATCCGCTGAGTCGGATGGCGGGCGCGGAGAAGGCGCGGTGACGGCGTCGCGGGTGAGGCGGCGAGGTGTGGGGCGGGAGAGGGGGCATGCGCTCGACGCTCTCGGCGCGAGTCGAGAGCTGTGCGAGCGGAGGGAGACCTCAGCGCACTGCCTTCGCTCCGCCTGTCAAAAAGGGCGGGCGACGGAGGCAGCACACCTTGTGGGGGAGGCCCAGCGGAGCTCTGTGATGGTGTAGTACACATTCGAGATGTATTGTTCATTTAACGCCCGGTTCCGGTTGCCGCTCGTCCGTCGTGAGCGACTGTTGGAGGGACGCTAGGAGGGACGGAGAGAGCGGGGAGAGCCCTCCGCGGCGCGGGCATGGGCTCGGGGTGGCCGACTACACGGTGAGCCATAGAGCCATACGGAGACCTTGCAGTAAACCTTTTCCTTCTAAGCAGGGCTACACAATGACCCCATAGTGTGGGGGTGTTCCTGGCGAGTTGCGATGAGTAGGATTAGATTAGCCAATGTTATTTTGAAGTTCATATATGAAAATACCAACTTGCCTATGTGCACGTCTCCGCGGCGGTGGCCCGGAGGCGGCCCGGCGGAGCGGTCAGAGCAGCACTGCGCCGGCCGGCGATCGACCCTCGACTATAACACGGGCTCTATTGAACGGCCTCAAGGTGCTCTCTAGGGCTGCCCTATTCCGCTCGCCCGGCTACGTCGCCGGGCGTCGAAGGAAAAGGTTTCGCTCGGCACGGCGTCGGAGAGCAAACTTCGGCGTTCGTCCTATAGCAGGGGGGGGAATGCTGGACGCACGTCGGCAAGTGGGCTGCATGTCAGGCGGGCTGCTGCAAAAAAAGCTGGGCCCTCTCGGCGCTCGCTCTCGCGCTCTTCATCACGGCGTTGCCCCCTCCCTCCCGCGCCGACGTTGGTCAGCCCGACCACGACAACGTCAGCGCCGCCGGCCTGCAACTCTAGGCGCCGTTGAATGAGCACGAGAGCCGGTGTGCAACGGCGGCGCGGGCGATGTAGCCCAAGGTGGCGGCGGCGGCGGAGGGGGCGGCGGCGGAGGGGGCGGCGGCGACGGCGGCGATGGCCGCGGGGTCGGCCCGCCCGCCTTTGCTGCTGGTGCTGTGGGCATCATCACAGCTCAACCTGAAGTCAAGGTGCAGAAGCTTCAGTGGGCACTTTTCGCATCCTTTGCCACGTATATGGCGCTGCGGACCGGTCTACCGCCCCGCCCCTGATCGTGTTCTCTTCCTCGACTCGACCTTCCGCGACCTTCTTCGACTCTCGACCTGATGCTGAGTTTCCGCACCAGCGCAGCTCAGTGGCAGTGTGCGACCAGGGCCAGTGGTAGACAGTCACGACGTGCGTCAGGCTGCTCTCTCTGAGCGATGACACTAGCAGGAGCATTGTCAGTGTCATCGGAGTCACTTGTATTTACGACGCCGCCACGCTCGCAAGGGCTGCCTAAGCGCCTAAGCACCCTAAGCACCCCCCGCTTAGGCCGCATAGGCGCTTAGGCGAGCGACGGCCGGCTGCCCGGGGCTGGCGTGCCTCCGCCGTGGGGTGAGCGCCTGGGAGAGCCACTCTGCAAGTGGTGTGTGAGTGTGTAGCCTTTAGCGTGCAGTCGGCCGGGTAGATATAAAGTACCTGCCGTGCACATACGTCAGTACGTGGCTGGGTCGACAGCGATTGTAGGAAAATTGGGGACCAAATCACGGTCGCGGCCTTCCGACTCGCGCCTCCGCCTCACTGGCACTATTGTAGCCCTGGCCGGTGCGCGTGCGGAGTTGAAGTTCCGGAGTGAAAATTCGAACGCGTTCTCTCACGGTGACCAAAAAATGTCCACCTCAGAGCACGTGGCGGGACCGGCTTCGACCTGTTCGGGCCGGACCCCACCCCCATGGAGGACCTTTGAGGCCCTCCCCAGTCTCACCCCACCTTACCTCTGCCCCCCCCTCCCCCCATCCCTCTGCCTCCCATAGGGCAGGATAGCACTAGCATATGCGCCTAGTGCGCACACTGGGCCCACATAGATGTGACCCGCCCGCTCGAGTGCGGCGTCCGGATGCTAGTGCTTGAGAAGACACCACAAACGCGGCACGGCCCGTTTTGGATGTCTGCGGAGATTCTGTCTTAGCACACACAGTGAGTCATTCGGAGTCATTCGATGGCCAGAGTGCGATTGTGTGTGTGCGGGAGTTGGTTTGTCGGGAGGGAGGGGCAGGCTGCTCACCCACGTGCACCGGGCCAGTGCTTGCACTTTGAATGCCGTGGGGCTCCTGCCCGTGTCCGGGCGTGGAGATGCGAGGGTCGCCCCCCCTTGCCCCACCACTTTGTGTGTGTGGAGAAATCTACCTTACCTTACCTTACCTCCGGAGGCAGGCCGCCGCACGCCGGCGACACAGCTCCAGCTGTCAAACTGACCCGCAGCTCCTCTCAGAGCGGGAACTGTGACGAAAGTTGACTGAGGCGGTTGTCAGGAATCATCATACGGATCACATGGTGACTCTCTCATGACGGGAGACCGCCCGACCACTCCTGGGTGGCACTGCCACCGGTGTCGCTCGACGTCCTGTCGACAGCGTGCCGACAGCGACACAGACCATGTGGGACGCGTCGAGTATCGACCTCTACTGCTTACCCAGCCTTCGAGTGTATCCTGGCTGTGGTCCCACACCCACTGGTGTCCATCTCAGAGACCGCAGGAGGTCATGAGGGTCGATGGGAGTGCCAACCCCACAATGCCTAAAGACCCAGCCCAGTATTTTTTGAGTATTGAGATATCTCCACACACGAGAAAACACAATACCCAATACGTATACACACACCTATGTCCGCTACTTCTGAGACGCACAAGGCTCTGCACTCGCCTCGCTCGCAAGGTCGCCCACCACATAAGCAGGCCCGGCGTCAGCCAGGGCGACAACCGCGGTAGTTGGTGGCAGCTTCACTCGCTCTCTCTGCACGAGCGGCTCGAACTCCGGAGAGTAGTGAGGGAAGAAGAGGTGGTCGGGGGCCAAGCTCATTGCATCTAGCGTCTCCGCAGACCACTCCACGCCGGGAACGACGTCGGGGTCGTCCCACCCCTTCCAGAAGGCCGTCTCGATTGACTCACCAGCGACGATGGAGCCTGCCGACTGTCCGACATAGAGCACGCCCTCGGCGACTCGCTGCTGGACGAGGTCGGCGCAGCCAGAAGAGCGCATGTGGTGCCAGAGGTAAAAGGTGTTACCACCCGTCACCCAGACACAGCTCGCGCCTTGGAGCGACGTGCGCACGCGATCGCCGTCGTCGCGAGCACAGCAGAGGCAGTCAATCTCGACGTGGCTGTCTATGAGCGCACTCAGCTCCGCCTCGAGGAGCCGCGCCTTCTTCCGCGCGTCTGCCCAGCGGCGTCGGCGAAGCTCACCTGGCGAGCGCGAGGAGGGTGCGCGCGAGGATGGAGCCATCGCCGCTGTCACGAGCATGGTCACGGCGAAACCCTGCGGGCCAGCCGGCTGCGCGTCCTTGGCCATTCTCCTGAAAGCTGCGGCCAGCGCCGGTGTGGACAAGCCGGCCGATGTTAAAAGCAGACGCGGCTGTGCTGCTATGGCCGCTAGACTGAAGAGTGGAGTGAGCATCGAGCACACACACACGCCCGCGCGAAAAAAGAAAGCGCGGGGGGAGGAACAGAGAGGCACAAGGATCGGCGAAACTCGGCAAACGAACGAGAGGGGTAGCGAGGGGCGAAACGTCTCCGCCGCTTATCCTGCCGACCGCTCTCCAAACAGCCGCGATCGGGCCCCGCGAGTGAGGCTGCCCACCGCACTCCTAGTGCCACAGGGCATGCCTCGCAACGCGCGCAAGGTGGTGCCCGATCCGGGTCTCGACAGCCCGATCAAGGAAATGCCGCTGGATGACGCGCTCCAGACCTCGGCGACGCGTTCCTTCTTTGGCTCCTTATTCTACTTTGCGACGGCGTGGGACGTTGTGCTGGTCACTTGCGGCTGCGTGTTCAAGCTAGTCTTTGGCGTGCTGCAGATTCTCATTCTCATCATCTTTGCCGAGTTTTTTGACATGCGACTCAACACGCCACAGGGGTTTCGCGACCTGGGCCTGCACATCTTCGTCTCCATGTGCTATTTTGGTGCCGCGACGGCCGGCACGGAAATGGCCGCCTCAATCGCGCTTGAGTGGGCCAAGCATCGCCAGATTACGGCGTGGAAGAAGGCGTACCTCAAGTCCATCCTCAGACAGGATGTCGGTTGGTACGACGTGAACCGGCCGCAGGAGCTGTCGACGCGGATGGGCGAGGCTCTCGTACACATTGAGAAGGGGCTGCACTCTTCCAACGGCAACCTCTTCTCTAATGGAGGCCAGTTCATCGGCGGGCTGGTGATAGCAGTCTACTACTCGTGGGACATTGCGCTGGTGACGCTCGCCATCGCCATGCTCACCTTCGTGCCCTCCGTCTCGCTCCTCCTGTCCTTCCTCGACCGGCGCACCAAGCTCCTCGCCGACGCCTACTCGGGCGCAGGCGGGGTCGCATCCGAGGTCCTATCGTCGATCCGCACAGTCGCCTCTCTCGGCCTCGAGCACCACTCACTTGCGCGGTACGACGTCCACATTGAGTCCGCCGAGTCGGGCTCGATCCGCCTCTCCAACAAGATCTTCCTCGCCGTTTCGACCATGAATGCATCGATGTTTTACGTGATGTCGGTCGGCGTCCTATTTGCGCTCTGGAAGCTCGTGTCCGAGTACCGCGGCACCACCTTTCCTTACACGTACGCGCCCACTCAAGCGCAGTACTGCGCTCACGTTTGCGACCCCTACGACCCGGTGCAGCTCGACGCATTTTCCCTGCTCGACCCGACCCAGGCTACGCTCTCATGCTCCGAGCGTGGACCAAACCTCACCCCCTTCCTGATGACGTGCAACACGGGCGACACCATCCTGTACGCGGACGGCAACGCGACTATCGGTCTGTGGACCGACCAGCTCCTCTCCAACCTGACCGCCGAGGAGAGGCGCAGCTCCTTCGAGGAGCAGTTCGCCACCGCCGGCTCGAGCCCCGCCTGCGCAGTGACCCTCGCCGTAATCTACATCGCCACGCAGGCCATCTTTCAGGGCGTCATGGGCGCCTCGCAGATCGCAGCGCCCATCACAGCACTCACCAAGGGTGTGACAGCCTGCCGAGACGTGCTCGCCGTGATTGAGCGCGAGCCTCCCATCGACTCGTTCGCTGACAAGGGCGTTGTTGTCCAGCGCTTCGCCGGCGAGATCGAGGTGCGGGGCGTGGTCTTCGCATACCCATCGGCGCCAGCCGTGCACGTGTGCAATGGGTACTCCCTTCACGTCCCGGCCGGCTCCTCGTGTGCGCTCGTCGGGCCGTCGGGGTCCGGCAAGTCGACTCTTATCCAGCTGCTCGAGCGCTACTACGATCCGCTCTCGGGCGAGGTGCTCATCGATGGCATCGACGTCAGGACGATGAACGTCAAGGCGCTGCGGAAGCAGATCGGGCTGGTCGGGCAGGAGCCGATGCTCTTCATGGGCACCGTTAGCGAGAATATCGCGCTCGGCAAGGATGACGCTACGCGCGAAGAGATCGAGGCAGCGGCGCGCACAGCAAACGCGCACGGCTTCATCACGCGAAGTCTGGCGAAGGGCTTTGGTACACAGGTCGGGCTCGGAGGCGGCAAGCTCTCGGGCGGCCAGAAACAGCGTATCGCCATTGCAAGAGCGATCATCAAGAAGCCGTCCATCCTGCTGCTTGACGAAGCCACGTCAGCGCTCGACAATGCGAGCGAGAGAGTCGTGCAGGCTGCGCTCGAGGACATCATGTCGCAGAGCCGCTTCACTTCGGTGACGGTGGCCCACCGGCTCTCAACCATCAAGCACTGCGACAAGATCGCGGTGGTGCAAAAGGGGTCGATCGTCGAGGAGGGCACCTACGATGAGCTGCTTGCCAAGGGCGAGGGCGGCGTCTTCTTTGGCCTCGCGGCCAAGCAGCAGGAGAATCAGGAGAGGGATACCGAGACAATGTCGCGGGCTTCGGCGTCGGTCAGGGACAGCTCGACCGCGCAATCACCCGAGGATAAGCAGGCCTGCGAGGACGGCGAGCAAACAGGTAGTGGGGCGGAGGAGGAGACGGACGCCGGCTCTGCAGCGAGCAAGACGAAGTCGAAGAAACAGGGCCCCGACCCGATGCTGCGGCTGATGCGGATGGCGCCCGCCGGCGACGGCAAGCTGTACGGAATCGGACTCGTCTGCTCTGCCATCACGGGTGTAGGGAAGGGCTTCTTCGGCCTGCTCTTCATGCGCTCGCTGACAGCACTCGCTTCCGTGAACCCCGACACCGTCCAGTCCGAAGCGACGATGTGGGCCCTAATCTTCCTGGGCGCTGGTCTCGCCATGCACTGCTGTGAGCTTATCTTCATGGCCACCCTCGGCGTCGCGGGCGAGCACCTCGTGAAGGCGCTCCGACACCACTGCATGCTCAAGCTGCTCCAGATGGAGATTGGCTACTTTGATGACGACGCCAACTCGACGGGCGCGCTGACCGAGTTCCTGGGTCAAAAGGTGGCGCTGGTGCAAGGGGTCGTCGGCGAGAGGCTTGGAACCATGGCGCAGTCCATCACCATGATGGTCTCGGTCGTGTTTACAATGTTTTACTGGGGCGACTGGCGCGTGACCCTCGTCGTGCTGGGCTGCTTCCCTATCATGGGGGCCGCCATGGCGGTGGCCATGGCCGCGATGATGCCCATGGACGCCGGAAAGCAGGGCAAGAAGGACAAGGACGCCGACGTCAAGCGGTCTGCCGGGTCGATGGTGGGGGAGGTGGTGCTCGGGATCCGGACGGTCGCCTCCTTCAACGCAGAGATCAAGTTCTACAGCGACTACTGCACGCAGATGGATGAGATGCTCAACGCGGGCAAGAAGCGCGCCCTCTACGGCGGCTCTACGTCGGGCCTCGCCTTTGGCACCATCTTCCTCATCTTTGGCGTGCAGCTCTACTACGGGATGTGGCTCGCGTCGGTCGGTGCGCTATTTCAGTTTGAGCTGACGGTGGACGCCACAGGGTGCATCGAGACTGATGTGACCGTCTACATGGACAAGATCATGGTCCCAATGATGGTGCGCTGTCCCGCTGTCGCCTAGCCTCCTCTGCACCCGACGCCTCGCCCCAACACGGCCGGCCCCTCCCTCCGGCAGGCGATGATGATGGTCATGATGCAGATGTCGTCGATGGCCATGATGGCCTCCGACGCAGGTGCCGCCACAGAAGCAGCCAAGGAGCTCCTCTCACGCTTTGACCGCGTCTCGCGCATCGACCCCACCTCGGAGGATGGTGCGCGGCTGCCGTCTGTTAGCGGCGAAATCTCTGTGCGAAGTGTGGTCTTTTCGTACCCGACGGCGCTCGACCGCCCGGCCTGCCGCGGCTACTCGCTCGAGATTGCGGCGGGCCAGGTGGTCGCGTTGTGCGGCCCGTCGGGCTCGGGAAAGAGCACGCTGATTGCCCTTATCCAGCGCTTCTACGACCCACAAGTGGGTAGTCTGCTGCTGGACGGAGTCGACATCCGAACACTCAACCTGCGGTGGCTTCGGCAGCAGATTGGGATGGTTGGGCAGGAGCCGGTGCTCTTCGAGGGCACGGTCGCAGAGAATGTTGGTTACGGCAAAGAGGGCGTTGATCAAAGCGAGATTGAAGAAGCGGCTCGCGCCGCGAATGCCCACAGCTTCATCACGCGCGACCTCGGCGCGGGCTACAGCACACAGGTGGGCTTGCGCGGCGGGAAGCTGTCGGGCGGGCAAAAGCAGCGCATCGCGATCGCGCGCGCCCTCGTGCGCAAGCCCGCCATCATGCTGCTTGACGAAGCGACGAGCGCCCTCGACAACGAGAGTGAGAGGGTGGTGCAGAAGGCACTTGACGAACTCATGTCGAAGCACAGGCGCACGACCGTCACCATCGCCCATCGCCTCTCCACCATCCGTAGCGCTGACAAAATCGCTGTCGTCAAGGGGGGGAGGGTGGTCGAGCATGGCTCGCACGAGGAGCTGCTGCAGATTGGGCCCTCGGGCGTGTACTTTGAGCTGATCTCGGCGGGCACAAGCTGATAGATCTCCTTGTGACACAGTGTGACTGTGTTTTGGCGCGCGGGTGAGGCTGAGGCCACACCGTGAGGGGCATATGCGCCGTCGCCCCGCGAGCCGCGTCTGCCGTCTCGCGGGCTCCGGGGCGCGGGGTCACTCGACACGCAAATAAATAAACCCAACCCGAGCGCACAGGTACAGCTACAGGTACCTCGAGACAGGGGCGTACAGGTACGGAGAGAGAAGAACTGGCTTTGAAACTCTCCGTGTCCGAGAGGAGAGGAGAGACATGTGAGGAGAGAGCGCGAGAGGCGATCCACCGATAGCAGGATAGCACGACACCCACAGAGCGCAGAGAGACCCGGGAGAACTCTGTCATCTCTGAACTGAGAGAACCAGAGAAGATGCAAGATCTAGATCTCACGAGGGGGGCTAGTTCCAGTTCACTCTCTGACACGCTAATCTTGAAAACGTCCAACACGGAGCTCCGTGTTGCTTCCAGCGCCCTCCCCGCCCCGCGCTCCCTGCGGCCATGCCCATGGCCGATGATCCTAGTATGGGAGGTCATCGGGCTACCGCGAGAGCGACCCAGCTCGTCGACATCGTCCGATGATGGTGCCTCAAAGTCAGCCTTCGGAGGCTATCGTGGGGTCGAGCCGGCAGTAGCCGTGACATGTGGTTCCACCACCCCTCGTAGGCTTTGCCTCTGATCGCCACCGTTCCCAGGCTGCCTAATGGGATGGAAAGGAAGGCTGGGCGAGCGTATAGAAGCGTGCTCGACCTCGTCGTGGCAACCTGCACGGCAGCGCTGGCAGGCGCGATGAGCGTCGTGCCACCTGACCCGAGACGGGTCGCAGGCGTCGTACCGAGCGCGTCGAGACCGTGTCCTGATGTGATCTGCACGGGTGATCACGTCGGCGTCAAAGGAGCGACGTGCGACCTGTCAGAGCTTGATCTCCGATCTCAGCGGCGTCGAGTCGTCTCCGGCGCGCGACTAAGGTACATCCCCAGGACGCGCAGAGGCAGCTGCGATCGGGGATAGTGCACTGACAGGTCGCACGTCGCACCTTTGAGGCGGAGGTGACCAC